GTTTGCCCCCCATCCAATCTTGACAGCCAATCATGGCTGTGGGGCAGGCCAAAGCTCTGAAGGAATGAGAGAGCCTGGGGGAGGGGCTGGGCTCTGCCTGGCTTCTCTCAAGCTAAACAGGGTCAGGCTGGGTGAGTGCCTGGATGGGAGACCCCGTAAATCTCTGAGCGAACAGATTGGGGAGTGTAGGATGGGGGGGGAACTCCCAGGGCAGCCAATGACAAAGCATCAATCCTTGAATGGGGCCAGCCCTTCAGAGTGGGTACCAAAGGGGAAAATGCCTGCCTCCTCCAGGGGATACCAGGCATGGGAGGACACTTGCTATGGGGTGGCGTGGAGGGGTGCAGGCAGCAGCTGTAAATAAATACCTACAAATATTTCTTATTCTCATAGACGTCATGCAGCTTGAGGACATGGGGATGCTCAATCAGCTTGAGGATGGCGATCTCCCGCTCCACCTGAGGGAGATGCACAGTGTAAGCTGGTGAGGGGGAGAGTTACCCCTTCAGGTGCCCCCCCCCTCCACCCCGAGGTTTGCGGGGGCAGGGGAGGCAGGTGCCCGTCCCCTGCTTGCTCACCTTCATCAGCACCGACTCAGAGAGCTTCTCCCGGTTGACGATCTTGATGGCGACTTTCTGGCCGGTGATGCAGTGGACACCCAGCTTTACCAGGCCTGTGGCAGGGGGAATGGACAGTGGGCTGTGTGGTGAGCGTACCCCCGCCCCACCCCGCAGTGAGTCCCACTGTGGTACAGCGACAGAGCTCTGTCATTCCTCAACTCCCCTCCCACAGTGAGCCCTGCCATGACATGACCCTCACCAGACCACAGTGCCCCCTGGAGCCCCCCAGTGCCACCTGCATGACACAGCACTCCCACCTGATCTTCTGATGTCACAGCACCCCTTCCTGATCTTCTGATGTCACTGTGCCTCCTGTGATATCATCACAGTACAGTACATTGCCCCCTGGAAGCCCTACCACAGCACAGCAACCCCCCAATGACACCTGACCATCACAGAGCCCCCTCTGACATCATCACAGCATAGTGCTCCCTCCTGATCCTCTGATGTCACAGTGCCCCCTATGATATCACCACAACACAGAGCCCTCATGGAGCGCTCTCCACAACACAGCATGTCCTGCCCCTCCCCATGTTACCTGCCATGGTGCCCCCTCCCAATCCTCTGATGTCACAGTACACCCTCTGACCTCATCACAGCGTAGTGCTTCTCTGGAGGTCCTACCATGGCACAGCAGGCCACCAGCTTCACTTGCCACAGCACAACACTCCCTCCCAATTCTCTGATGTTGCAGCACGCCTTGTGATATCATCACAGCATAGTGGGACCACTGCACAGAGCTCCCTCCCAATCCTCTGATGTCACAGCATCCCCTGTGACATCATCACAGCACCGTGCCCCTTGGACCTCTCCATGGCACCATGACCCCAGCCCCCCTGCCATGACACAGCTACCCCTTGGCCTCCTGATGGCACCATAGCCCCCAACATCCCCTACCACAGCACAGCGCCCTGTCTCAATCCTCTGATGTCACAGCTCCACCATCACATCATTGTGCCCCTCATGGTAGTGCCCTCCCTCTTGCAGTGACCCACAGCACCTCCCAATGACCTCCCTCGAGTGACAGATCAGACCCCACTCATTGCTGCACCCCAGTGATCAGACAGACCCCCCCAGGGGATAGCACCCCTTAGGGGCATACCCTGCAGCACAGCACTGCCCCCTACTAGCCCTGTGTAGCTCTGGATCCCCCAGTTGCACAGTGCCCCCATCCCTCAGCATCTCCCCAAGACTCGCCTGGCACTGATCATGACGATGTGAGCACTGGTTCATCCCCCTTCCCACCCCTCTCCAGCCTCCCTCACCCACCTCCATGAACGCACCAGCCACAGCAGAATGGGAATCAGACCTTTCCAATCCGAGTGCCAGACCCCATTAACCAAGATTGGGGCCTATCACAATAGCCCATGCCCAGACCTACAGCAAGCACCCACAAACCCTGGCATCCTTGTGTCTGGATGGGGAAACTGAGGCATGGGCTGATCCCACAACCTGTCCACAGTCACCAGGAAAGGACAGGGTCATGGACTGCACTCAGGAGTCCCAAGGCTACCCCCATGCTTCCAGCACCTCCCACCTGCATCCCTCCCCCTCCCACTGCTGGACTTCTGGCCTATAAACAAAGCTCTTCCTGTAGGTCCTACAAAAACTCAGCTGCTTGGGCTCTCCCCTGCACGCGCGTGTGCGCACACACACACACACACACACACACACACACACACACACCCCTCCTGAGGCTGGCTTGTGGATGGGTTTCAGGAAAAGGGGAGTTCTCTAGGGGGCAGCGAGGGAGGGGGCAGCACTATAGCCTGTGTGTCTGGCAGGGCAGGGTCACAGGCCCCTCATTTTGAGGAAGGAGAGACACCCCTCCCTGCCCCCATCTCCAGATGCCCAGGCAGACACACACACACACAGCAGCTCTGGCCCAGCTGAGGCATCTCTGCCTAAAGTGATTATTCAGCAATCTCGCTCTCCTGGCCGCTGTTCTGGTCCATTCATCCGTCTGTCCTGTGAGCAGAGCCCTCCTGGGTCTCCGGCCACGGAGTGATGTTCTCAGGCTGGATTCCCCCCTCAACCTCCCTGTATCACATATACACCTCATGCCCCCTCCACCCTCCTCTCAGCCTGAACCACCACTGCACCACACTGGCACGTCTCCACCCCCACCCAAGAGGCCTCTCCTCTCTGCTCCCATCCCTGCAGTGGCAGAGGAGAGGAACACACAGCTTCTGACCCTCCCTCTTATCACAGCTTCCAGCCTGCCCCCCCTCCCCATGCATTCCCCCATGCCTGTCACCCCCAGG